GATGTGAAAAGAGAGCTGTTGAGCATCGGGAAGTTTGGTTTACGTCATAGTAACAGTCGAGTCCATTTTAGGACGTGCAAGATTTGTGAGGTGGAGGAATTCCTGGAGAAAATCCGACGACCCGTAGCTAACAGCTATTAACAACTGGGAGTAGGAAGCCGAGACTAAGAGATGGAGGGCGAATGATAACGACGGGCAGATTGCTTAACTACTCAATCACCGCGGCGTCTGGAGAAGCAGGGATGAGTCGTTTTCTGGTTTTATCATTGTTTCCTGGTAAGACATGCTTAGTTTAACTATATACCTTCGCTTCTCTCATTTATGACACTATGGATTTCATTGGTTGATTTAATAATTTCATGAAGTGAAAAGTCAACTTCAGGTGAATTCAACAGCCATAATTTCTATCGTTCCAAATGACTGAATTTGGTCAATATCAATATTTGTGTTTTGTAAAAGAGCGGAAATTCGAGTAAAGAATGATGGAATGGATCTTGGGTTGTTTTGAAACATGGTTAAATCAGACCCAGACAGTCACATCTTTCGTTCATCCTTCTCGAAATTGCAGTTACAATATAAATAACATTTATATACTGATGGTTCAACAGATAATGATAGGGTTGCCGCGGCCATGGTTACACAAGATGAAGCCTATGGATGCCGGCTACCGAACAACGCCTCAATATTCCCGGCAGAAGCGTGAGCTATCTACCTCGCAATTGAATATATTCAAAGAAACAAAGGAATGAGAGCTGTTATCCATTCAGACTCTCTTTCTGTTTTATAGAGTCTTAGCAACAGAAATATCGAAAATATTTTCATTCTTAATACATAAATACTATATCATGAACTTGCCTTTAACTTTCGTATTGCTTTTTGCTGGGTTCCTGGGCACATGGGAATACCAGGCAATGAAAAAGCAAATCGTGTTGCAAAGGAAGCTTTATCGCTAACACCTGTTGTTTTTAAACTTCATTTTACCGATAAACTATTTATTAAACAAATTTTAAAAGCTGAGTGGCAGGAAGATTGGAATACCTATACCAATAACAAATTGCACTCTGTTAAACCTGGTATCGGTGAAGGGTCTCCATGCTATAGAGACAACCACCGAGACGAAGTTGTCCTGGCCCGTCTTCGGATGGGTCATACATAACTTAAACATTCATATATGTTGAAAGACGAAGATAATCCTTGGTGCATAGAATCTGAGGAGACTTTTACCGTTAAACATTTTTTTATTGGACTGCATTGACCTGTTTTAATCGTAACATTACATGTCTAAAAACCCTTTTTGAAACTGTTGAGATTTGTAAAATTCTACATTACCTGAAAGATGTTGGTCTATATAATAGATTTTGACATACCATTTTAGTCTCTTATGTTAACATACCCATTAACGATTATTAGCTTGTCTTTTACATTTTGGTTTGCTTAATGTTATATCCTTTCGGATCGCTGTGTGGTTTACCGGTCGATGCCCTAATGACCTTTCATGCGTTGACGGACCGTAAAAAATGAATGCAGTAACAATAATGATGATCATTGGTTGGAATTTATAGCAGTTTAAGGTGTTGTAGACAACACTGGGTATGGTTTTATATTATTTTATTATTATTATTTTATTTTTATATTAGAAACATGACCGAAGGTCTGGTGTCTGTTGCAGTGTTTGGAATTGTCGCACGTTCTGAAATGACCCAGGAATTGTGGAAAACAGAAGTTTACGAATTCGAATATTTCTCATACACCAATTTGAATATAAACACCGCATCTCCGATAGAATGTGTACTGACCACCATATCATTAAATTTGTCACGTGCGACATTTGACGGTTCATCAAAACGATGTTTTATCCCTGATAAGACCAACCTGACGGAATTGACCAATGAGACGAGAGTCCTCTACATTACTAAGGGAGGTAACTTAACATAATAGTTTAAGTGTAATTTGCGAATAGCGAAAGTTACAATTATCTTATTCATTCTTGATACCCGGATGAAAGAGCACGAGAAGCTATATAGATTAGCGTTGTGTATAAAAGTAGAAACCGAAGTGAGAAGGAAAATCTGGCTGGCGCTACTCCCTTCCTTATCTTCTGATATCCAATCCCATCGTCCAGCTGGAAAGAATGCATTCCATTGTAAGGTCTGACTTTACAATAGATTTACTTGCTATTAGAGCAATGTAATTAAATTGTGTGTAAGATACTACAAATGTTTATATACTCGGCGCCAATGAAAACGCAACACTAAAATTTTGGACATAATATATTCTTCACAACAAGGATTAGATTCTTATTCTGCTGTATTTAGCCACAACACAATGCACTACAAAACTAACGAAATAATGGTCGAGTAATATCAACTAGTTGTCGTACCACAGGGCATTGTCGTAAAAGCATGAGTTTGCACGTCGGCGCTCTAAAGTGCGTTATATCCTTGCTCAGTCACTACTAGTGAACACTATAGTTACAGGCAGACATTTTTCCGTCATCAATTTTTTAAATTGTCATCATTATTTGCTACAAATGCCTCGACTGACAGACAATGAAAGACACGAAGCTCGGGGTATGCTGGCAGGAGGGCTTTCTCAGAGGGAAGTTGCCAGGAGAATGGGTTGTTCTGCTTCCACAATCAATCGACTGGCAGAACGAGTGCGACAAACCGGATCCGTGAGAGATCGACCTCGTCCGGGGCGACAGAGAGTGACGACGCCAAACCAGGACCGTTACATTCGACTAAGTCACCTGCGAGATCGTTTTCAAACCGCGACAAGAACGGCTACACAGACGATAGGAAGTCATGGCAGACGTTTGTCAGCTAGTACTGTGCGCCGTCGCCTTCGCACAGCCGGATTGGCGTCGCGCCGTCAATTTAGAGGAAACGAATTGACTCAAATTCGCCGTCAAAATCGTCTAAATTGGACAAGACAGCGCCGAGGATGGACCCAACGTCGGTGGGCTGGCGTCCTGTTCACCGACGAATCGAGATTCCGCCTCAGAGGAAATGACGGTAGAATTCGAGTGTGGCGACGTCGAGGTGAAAGGTTATTGGACTGCTATGTAACGGAAACGGATAGGTGGGGCGGGGGCATTGTGATGGTGTGGGGAGGTATCTCTTTTGCATACCGTACCCCTCTAGTAATTATTGACGGCAATCTAACAGCACAGCGCTACATCAACGAGGTCTTAACTCCTGCTGTTGTTCCATTCTTTGCCGGACACCCAAACGTAGCGTTATTACAACAGGACAATACACGACCACATACCGCTCGTATCACTACATACTACCTTCAACATTAGAACATCGCAACCCTTCCGTGGCCCGCGTTTTCCCCGGATCTTAGTCCGATCGAGCATATTTGGGACCAATTGGGTAGGGCTGTGAGAGAGCGACCACAACAGCCCCTGACGCGTCGGCAGCTTGAAATCGCTCTTCAGGAAGAGTGGAGGAACATTCCTCAAATCAAAATTCAACGCCTTATTCGGTCAATGCCTCGAAGATGCCGCGCTTGTGTCGCTGCAAATGGTGGCCACATTAGATATTGAACGTGGTAATTTTGATTTTGGAGTTATGGACATTAGTCACCGGAAATCAAAGTATTCCCATGATGTAGTGCTGATTGCATTGAGTGAATCTTGTTATGGACATAATCAACTTTTAGGTATTTTATTAAATATTGTATTCAAAACTATAACTGGTAAATTTTGACAGTAATTTAAAGGTGTTGCGTTTTCATCGACGCCGAGTAGTATATATATATATATATATATATATATATATACTAAAACGAAAAAGAAACGCCGTGTAACCTAAAAAGATTCTTTTAAATGATATAATTTAATGTTACATTATTTCATACATTTTTGTATACAATTTCATCTGTTTGGAACCAGTTGTTGAATGTTCTATCGATTATCAATGCTAATTATGCCAAAAATACCCCCCTTTTAGCGATGACCTACTTGTATTGCGCAACACGGCCGGACAATTCAGTATCTTGTGTGTCCTCCATGCGCAGCTGTCGCAGCCCTGATTCTTCTATGCATGGAATTCATCAGGGTGGACGTCTCCTAACTCTTGGAGACAAATCTGGAGTGAATGCTGGCCAATCGATTGGGATTACGTTATTGTAGGCAAGAAATTGCTGACAAACTCTAGCGACATGGGGCCGGGCATTGTCTTGCTGGAATATCAGGTTCCGTGTTTGCACACATGGCACGGCAACTGGGCGAAGGATTTCGTCTCTATACCTTACGCTGGTTAAATTTCCGTCAATCACGATCAGGGGTGATTTAAACCCATAGGAGATTCCGCCCCAAACACATACTGAACCACCGCCAAACCTATCCCGCTCAGCGACGCACGCGTCGGTGTAACGTTCCCCTCGACGTCGATATACACGACGTCGCCCGTCCGAACGGTAGAGAGTGAACCGGGATTCGTCAGTGAAGAATACCCGTCTCCATTGCCTCATAGGAAAATTTTTGGGCGAAAGTGCTTGTAACCAAGCCAATTGGCGTTGGCGACGCGCAGGAGTTAGGGGCAGACCAACATAGGGACGTCGGGCTCTTAGGCCATTGACGCGTAATCGGTTTCGAACCGTAGCAGGATGAATATGGCGGTTATGACTGCCTATAGTGTTATTTGCAGTTTCGGTAGCTGTGAGATGGCGATTACGTAAGTGAGAAAGTCTTATAAACCGATCCTGTTGTGGCGTCGTGACGCGCGGACGTCCACTTCGCGGTCGATCGATGACCCTCCCCGTCACTCGCACACGTTGGACAAGACGTTGAATTGTCCGAATATGCACACCAAAATGTGCAGCAACCTGAGGTTGGCCCTGACCCTGCAAAAGCATTCATATAGCCTGTCCCCGCTGGACTTCCGTCAATCGTGGCGTAGATGTAAATTGCTTAATTCGAATCAAACTTTGAAAAATCAATCCGAATACTTGAACAGTATCAAATAGACTGAAAATTTCCATTGGCTAACTCAATGACCTTCCCTTGTACGGGATTCTTGTATTTTAGCACGTGCCTCGCACAGAGCGCGGAGGTCAGGTATTGTGTGATTTTAAACACGTGTACCTAGTAACCACGAACAACACATCAACCTGACCGAGTGGCATTATTCTAAGCCAAGCAATAAATCATTTGTAGTATATTTAGTGTACCTGGCGTTTCTTTTTCGTGTTAGTTTATATATATTATTCATATTCTACTCATTTTCAAAGATATTCCCATTCCACTGAATATTTTGTTTTTGAAAGACTGCAGCTTACTGTTTATCACATACTACAGAATATTTTACTGTATGTCTGCAGTTTACTGTTTATCACATTCTACAGAATATTTTACTGTATGTCTGCAGCTTACTGTTTATCACATTCTACAGAATATTTTACTGTATGTCTGCAGCTTACTGTTTATCACATACTACAGAATATTTTACTGTATGTCTGCAGTTTACTGTTTATCACATACTACAGAATATTTTACTGTATGTCTGCAGCTTACTGTTTATCACATACTACAGAATATTTTACTGTATGTCTGCAGCTTACTGTTTATCACATACTACAGAATATTTTACTGTATGTCTGCAGTTTACTGTTTATCACATACTACAGAATATTTTACTGTATGTCTGCAGTTTACTGTTTATCACATACTACAGAATATTTTACTGTATGTCTGCAGCAGTTTACTGTTTATCACATACTACAGAATATTTTACTGTATGTCTGCAGTTTACTGTTTATCACATACTACAGAATATTTTACTGTATGTCTGCAGCTTACTGTTTATCACATACTACAGAATATTTTACTGTATGTCTGCAGTTTACTGTTTATCACATACTACAGAATATTTTACTGTATGTCTGCAGTTTACTGTTTATCACATACTACAGAATATTTTACTGTATGTCTGCAGCTTACTGTTTATCACATACTACAGAATATTTTACTGTATGTCTGCAGTTTACTGTTTATCACATACTACAGAATATTTTACTGTATGTCTGCAGCTTACTGTTTATCACATACTACAGAATATTTTACTGTATGTCTGCAGTTTACTGTTTATCACATACTACAGAATATTTTACTGTATGTCTGCAGCTTACTGTTTATCACATACTACAGAATATTTTACTGTATGTCTGCAGTTTACTGTTTATCACATACTACAGAATATTTTACTGTATGTCTGCAGCTTACTGTTTATCACATACTACAGAATATTTTACTGTATGTCTGCAGTTTACTGTTTATCACATACTACAGAATATTTTACTGTATGTCTGCAGCTTACTGTTTATCACATTCTACAAGATATTTTTCTGTATGTCCGGAGTTTTCTGTTAATCACATATTTCAGAATATTTTTCTGTACTGTCCAGATTTTCCGAAATCTTCACATTCTATGGAATAATGTTAATATGAAGGATTAAACATCTGTTTGGTACAATTCGAACAACAACAAGGATTGGCTAATAAATCCGTTCTACTTTGTATAATTCAAACACGATTTTCTTTTAAACTCATGGTTGATGTTGATTTCTGGCTTAGAGAAAAACTCTTAAATCTGAACAATGAACATGACTCTAGGAACAAAGTTCTAAATTCTTACGCCGATCGTGGGAAAGGAATTGATATAAGTTGTAAGCTTGTTTTCCCATCTAATACGTATCATATCTATGTGTTAAATTGTTGAATACCGAATAAAATATTGTTTACACTAACGACAATCGTTTCGTGGTTCAGTTTCAGCAAACATCAGTTCTACCGATAGTCGGCCAGTTCCTGAATCGTCAACACTTCAAGAATCCGCCACTTCTACAGCAGGGCCACCAGGTAAGACCGAGAAATGGGGTAGACTGTATGACACCGGAAATGACGTCTGATAAAATCGGTAATATCAAATTTCCATTTTATCTACGTAAGACGATTTTAAATAATTAATTGAGAATGAAGAAATTTAAGTTGCTTATATCGAGAATTCATAAATTGATCCATATTTACAAGTTACAAATCGTTATAAACAAAAGAGATTATATTATCTCGACACGTGTGTCCATTCCTATTTGCCGTATTAAACCGAACAAACTAGAAACAAACAGAAATTTTTTTTTCTTTATTCAAAGAATTGTCATAAGTAAAAATTCAGAATATTGACTTAAACATATATCTCAATATATTTATAATATTCACCTCAATAGATTTTGTAGTAAATATTGTGTTAATGTATAACTAAGAATATCTTTAAACTCTCTTCATTTTGATTATAACTCGATCAATTCTCATTCAATTGTCAATAATAAATGGTGTGTATGTCAGATTGTTTACACCAGTGGATAATTCGACATGTCAATTTTTGCGGTTCTACTGAATATCTAAATGATTTTTTCTTGTACTTCTTTAAAAACATATAGATATCTCGGGGTGGTGTGTTAAGTTAGACAGTTGATGAATTTCTCGGCAATTTGGTGCCGTAGATCGTGGGTTCGAGACACGGCTAGGTAATTTGGTGCCGTAGATCAGGAGTTCGAGACTCGGCTAGGTGATTTGGTGCCGTAGATCAGGAGTTCGAGACTCGGCTAGGTGATTTGGTGCCGTAGATCGTGAGATCGAGACTCGTCTAGGTGATTTAGTGCCGTAGATCGTGAGTTCGAGACTCGGCTAGGTGATTTAGTGCCGTAGATCGTGAGTTTGAGACGCGGCCTGGTGATTTGGTGCCGTAGATCGTGAGTTCGAGATTTGGCTAGGTGATTTAGTGCCGTAGATCGTGAGTTCGAGACTCGGCTAGGTGATTTGGTGCCGTAGGTCATGAGTTCGAGTCTCGGCTAGGTGATTTGGTGCCGTATACTGTGAGTTCGAGACTCGACTAGGTGATTTGGTGCCGTAGATCGTGAGTTCAAGACTCGGCCTGGTGATTTGGTGCCGTAGATCATGAGTCCGAGACTCGGCTAGGTGATTTGGTGCCGTAGATCAGGAGTTCGAGACTCGGCTAGGTGATTTGGTGCCGTAGATCGTGAGATCGAGACTCGTCTAGGTGATTTAGTGCCGTAGATCGTGAGTTCGAGACTCGGCTAGGTGATTTAGTGCCGTAGATCGTGAGTTTGAGACGCGGCCTGGTGATTTGGTGCCGTAGATCATGAGTTCGAGACTCGGCTAGGTGATTTGGTGCCGTAGATCGTGAGTTCGAGATTTGGCTAGGTGATTTAGTGCCGTAGATCGTGAGTTCGAGACTCGGCTAGGTGATTTGGTGCCGTAGGTCATGAGTTCGAGTCTCGGCTAGGTGATTTGGTGCCGTATACTGTGAGTTCGAGACTCGACTAGGTGATTTGGTGCCGTAGATCGTGAGTTCAAGACTCGGCCTGGTGATTTGGTGCCGTAGATCATGAGTCCGAGACTCGGCTAGGTGATTTGGTGCCGTAGATCAGGAGTTCGAGACTCGGCCTGGTGATTTGGTGCCGTAGATCGTGAGTTCGAGACTCGGCTAGGTGATTTAGTGTCGTATATCGTGAGTTCAAGACTCGGCTAGGTGATTTAGTGCCGTAGATCATGAGTTCGAGACTCGGCTAGGCGATTTGGTGCCGTAGATCGTGAGTTTGAGACGCGGCCTGGTGATTTGGTGTCGTAGATCGTGAGTTCGAGACTCGGCTAGGTGATTTAGTGCCGTAGATCGTGAGTTCGAGATTCGGCTAGGTGATTTAGTGCCGTAGATCGTGAGTTCGAGACACGGCTAGGTGATTTGGTGCCGTAGGTCATGAGTTCGAGTCTCGGCTAGGTGATTTGGTGCCGTAGATCGTGAGTTTCAGACGCGGCCTGGTGATTTGGTGCCGTAGATCGTGAGTTCGAGACTCGGCTAGGTGATTTGGTGCCGTAGATCGTGAGTTCGAGACTCGGCTAGGTGATTTGGTGCTGTAGATCGTGAGTTCGAGATTCGGCTAGGTGATTTAGTGCCGTAGATCGTGAGTTCGAGACACGGCTAGGTGATTTGGTGCCGTAGGTCATGAGTTCGAGTCTCGGCTAGGTGATTTGGTGCCGTAGATCGTGAGTTCGAGACTCGGCCTGGTGATTTTGTGACGTAGATCGTGAGTTCGAAACTCGACTAGGTGATTTGGTGCCGTAGATCGTGAGTTCGAGACTCGGCTAGGTGATTTGGTGCTGTAGATCGTGAGTTCGAGATTCGGCTAGGTGATTTAGTGCCGTAGATCGTGAGTTCGAGACACGGCTAGGTGATTTGGTGCCGTAGGTCATGAGTTCGAGTCTCGGCTAGGTGATTTGGTGCCGTAGATCGTGAGTTCGAGACTCGGCTAGGTGATTTTGTGCCGAAGATCGTGATTTCGAGACTCGGCTAGGTGATTTGGTGCCGTAGATCGTGAGTTCGAGACTCGGCTAGGTGATTTGGTGCCGTAGATCGTGAGTTCGAGACTCGGCTAGGTGATTTTGTGCCGAAGATCGTGATTTCGAGACTCGGCTAGGTGATTTGGTGCCGTAGATCGTGAGTTCGAGACTCGGCTAGGTGATTTGGTGCCGTAGGTCATGAGTTCGAGTCTCGGCTAGGTGATTTGGTGCCGTATACTGTGAGTTCGAGACTCGACTAGGTGATTTGGTGCCGTAGATCGTGAGTTCAAGACTCGGCCTGGTGATTTGGTGCCGTAGATCATGAGTCCGAGACTCGGCTAGGTGATTTGGTGCCGTAGATCAGGAGTTCGAGACTCGGCCTGGTGATTTGGTGCCGTAGATCGTGAGTTCGAGACTCGGCTAGGTGATTTAGTGTCGTATATCGTGAGTTCAAGACTCGGCTAGGTGTTTAGTGCCGTAGATCATGAGTTCGAGATTCGGCTAGGCGATTTGGTGCCGTAGATCGTGAGTTTGAGACGCGGCCTGGTGATTTGGTGCCGTAGATCGTGAGTTCGAGACTCGGCTAGGTGATTTAGTGCCGTAGATCGTGAGTTCGAGATTCGGCTAGGTGATTTAGTGCCGTAGATCGTGAGTTCGAGACACGGCTAGGTGATTTGGTGCCGTAGGTCATGAGTTCGAGTCTCGGCTAGGTGATTTGGTGCCGTAGATCGTGAGTTTGAGACGCGGCCTGGTGATTTGGTGCCGTAGATCGTGAGTTCGAGACTCGGCTAGGTGATTTGGTGCCGTAGATCGTGAGTTCGAGACTCGGCTAGGTGATTTGGTGCTGTAGATCGTGAGTTCGAGATTCGGCTAGGTGATTTAGTGCCGTAGATCGTGAGTTCGAGACACGGCTAGGTGATTTGGTGCCGTAGGTCATGAGTTCGAGTCTCGGCTAGGTGATTTGGTGCCGTAGATCGTGAGTTCGAGACTCGGCCTGGTGATTTTGTGACGTAGATCGTGAGTTCGAAACTCGACTAGGTGATTTGGTGCCGTAGATCGTGAGTTCGAGACTCGGCTAGGTGATTTGGTGCTGTAGATCGTGAGTTCGAGATTCGGCTAGGTGATTTAGTGCCGTAGATCGTGAGTTCGAGACACGGCTAGGTGATTTGGTGCCGTAGGTCATGAGTTCGAGTCTCGGCTAGGTGATTTGGTGCCGTAGATCGTGAGTTCGAGACTCGGCTAGGTGATTTTGTGCCGAAGATCGTGATTTCGAGACTCGGCTAGGTGATTTGGTGCCGTAGATCGTGAGTTCGAGACTCGGCTAGGTGATTTGGTGCCGTAGATCGTGAGTTCGAGACTCGGCTAGGTGATTTTGTGCCGAAGATCGTGATTTCGAGACTCGGCTAGGTGATTTGGTGCCGTAGATCGTGAGTTCGAGATTCGGCTAGGTGATTTTGTGACGTAGATCGTAAGTTCGAGACTCGGCGTGGTGATTTAGTGCCGTAGATCGTGAGTTCGAGACTCGGCTAGGCGATTTTGTGACGTAGATCGTGAGTTCAACACTCGGCCTGGTGATTTGGTGCCGTAGATCATGAGTCCGAGACTCGGCTAGGTGATTTAGTGCCGTAGATCGTGAGTTCGAGACTCGGCTAGGTGATTTGGTGCCGTAGGTCATGAGTTCGAGTCTCGGCTAGGTGATTTGGTGCCGTAGATCAGGAGTTCGAGACTCGGCTAGGTGATTTTGTGCCGAAGATCGTGATTTCGAGACTCGGCTAGGTGATTTGGTGCCGTAGATCGTGAGTTCGAGACTCGGCGTGGTGATTTGGTGACGTAGATCGTGAGTTCGAGACTCGGCTAGGTGATTTAGTGCCGTAGATCGTGAGTTCGAGACACGGCTAGGTGATTTGGTGCCGTAGGTCATGAGTTCGAGTCTCGGCTAGGTGATTTGGTGCCGTAGATCGTGAGTTCGAGACTCGGCCTGGTGATTTTGTGACGTAGATCGTGAGTTCGAACCCTAAACTATGATTTGGTGCCGTAATCGTAAAGTTCGAGACTGGTAATAAGGTACGAGTCAGTTAAATATATCGATTCGTCATGTTGTTTTCAACCCTATATATCTCATGGTAACCCCAACCCTAAATGTATCGTCAAGGTAATCTAACCCATGGTAAACCCTAACCCTCGGATGGTTGTGTATCTAAATGTATCGACATGGTAACCCAAACCCTAAATGTATCGCATGGTAACCCCAACCCTAAACGATCGCCTGGTAACCCCAACCCTAAGCAATCGCCTGATATACCCAACCCTAAATTATAACATGGTAACCCCAACCCTAAACTATCGTATGGTAATACCAACCCTAAATGTATCGCATGGTAACCCCAACCCTAAAATATCGCATGGTAACCCCAAAGCTAAATGTATCGTATGGTAACCCCAACCCTAAATGTATCGCATGGTAACCCCAACACTAAATTATCGCATGGTAACCCCAACCCTAA